ATTTTTGAGACATTGAAATTGTCAGTCAAAGAGGAATTAACTGCATTAGGGTATCTGTATGAAAGACTGAGCAGCTACCCCAAATCCTCCCAGAGGTCTGCACTGCAATAAGGAACAGCGTGTCCTGCAGAGCCAGGCAGGACCTCACCAGTCATCAGGGAGGCAGAGGGGAAGAAAGCAAATGGAGAGCTCACCTCTGACACCCACTCCAAAGCACCAGCACATGCCCTCCTTCCCACAAGAACCAGCCTCATCAGATGGGCCAGACCTCTGATGGATGAAGGAAGAGCTTTGCTACCTTGATCCATGATGGAGTAACTCAGATCAGAGAGGAGTCAATGGGCAACAAGGCTTAGCAGGGAGAAGCAGAAGGAATTTGCCTTCAGAGCTGGCTTTGTGGAGTGGCTCACCAGCATCTCAAATGCCATATGAAACAGCCCAAGCTTAACCTGGGCATAAAGCTGCTTTGTAGACCTCCAGGAAACTGTTCTCACATGTCCCCATCTTCCTGGGAACATGTTTAACCCCCCAGCTGCCATGGCATTCACATTTAAATGCTCCTGAAAGGCTGAGCAAAAGCAGAACCTGAGAAGTCAGCTGGAAAACGGGATGAAATGCCTCAAGAGGCAGTAAGCACCTGCATGGTGTCTGGCAGCTCACAGGCTGCCCTGGACAAAGGCAGGCATTGATGCCATCCTTTCCAGCTCACTTCAGCAGCCTTAGCTGAGATCTTGGAGTCAAACCATAAACCCCTCAACCAAAATTCACCAAAGTAATCAACCCCAAACCCTCTCTGCTCCCAGTGCAGCACTTTCTGCACTTGCATCCTCTGCACATAGCATGTCCCTTGCTAGGAACAAGTAACGACAGAGCCAGAGTTTGCTCTCTTCCTCTCTTGGGAAGGTAACAATCAAAGCACAGCTCCAAATTTGCATTTTGCAACCCTGACTTTTGCAAAACAGTAAATCTTACCAGCCAACTTGAAAAGCCTCCAACTGGTTTCATCGCCTGGAGCTACTCTGCTAGAATAGCTGTCCTGGCACCATCACCATCCTCTGCCCTTCACCTCTCCAGTACTTCAGATGCTGAACTTTGCAGAGCCAAAGTTGGGAGCACGCAGTGGTGTCACTCGATAGGCCCTCTTCACTCTAATTTTAGGTGGTAGAACTTTTCATGCTTTTAAAAAGTCCCTTTACTTATTTTTGACAAACCTCTTTTACTTAGTGACTACCATAAACACTTTGCTATCTGATGTTTTGAACTTACCTACAGGGCTCTAGAGGTCACAACCAACCAGCACCTGGCATGATCGCAAAGGAACAATCACCTGTTAATTTTGTAAACTGGACTGAGTAGCATGATGCTCCCAACATGCAAATGATTTCAGATGGAAACAAATTACACATCAGTAAGTAACGCATTTCTTTCTGGCTTGGTTTTTTTTTTTTTTTTTCAGTTAATATTGATTTCTGATTTTTGTGGTAGACTGTTCCTCCATCACTCATTTGTTTGCCCTGGGACATGTCCTTGCTGCATCTGCTTTAGACAACTAAGGCAGAATCCCTGTGGGATTCAGGAGATCCTGCCTGGACACCCTAGATCTAGGCTAGGTACCTCTCCAAAGACAACGAGTCAGGGTGGGCCATTCAAGATAGGGGCTAGGTCTCATCCTCACACTATTTACACCTAAATGGATGAGAAAGGTGACAGTGAGGATGATGACTGAGCAGCAGGATGGGAGTCAGGACCAATGCCTGGAGCTGCAGTTTTGTGTCCCCAGATGGGGTGAGCAAGGCAGGAGACCAGTCATGGTGCTCACAGCTGCTCCACAACCTTGGGGAAGACCCACCTATCCAACCAAGCATCTCATTGGATAATTACACTTGCAATTTGCTGCTTTCATGCCTTAAAGGGCTCACTTGTATAAATCCCAATGGGATCTCCCCCTTCCTTTTACTCAACCTTCCCCCATTCTTCCCATCATTCTCACAAGTCCCAAGTTCATGACACTTTATTTAATGCTTGTCTTCAGCATTGCTAAGCCACTATTTCTGCAAGTTATCAGGAATAGATGAAGCACTTTTCTGAAAATTTGTGATCTTAATCAAATCACTCCACTGCAACCAATGCAAAATTCCAGGGGAGCGACCTGTCTCAAGATCAGGATCCTTGGAGTGGTTCCATTTCTAAAGTATATCCTAGCTCCGACTGCACTTTTGTCAACATGAAATACATTTTTCTCTCTTAACCTGCTTACATACAGAGATATACCTATAAATATATATATATAAATAAATAGATATAAAATGCAGCATCAGGGAAAGTGTCTTGAGCTGGCAAGGAATTACCAAGAGACCAACCTCAGAGCCTTGTTCAGCAGGATATCAGCTGCCACCTCAGTATTTATAGACACCCTGCTCTTTGAGCTTGTTTATTTTCCTTCCCAAAGGTGGTGGTGGCAGGAGGCAAAGCTCTGATATTCAGGCTCAGGTGTCCCCAAGGCTGACCTTTCCTTCAAAGAGCAGAAGCTGCAGACGCATTTCAAGGAACAAAGTCATTTGGAAACTCTAGACTCTTGTGTCCATTACCACCCTGTGCAGAGCTGCAAACAAGGGCTGACCAGAGATCTGTTAATTAGCATGCACACATGTACACTAGGATGGATGTAAAAATGAGCCTGTAATTATTTTATACCTGGAAAGAGAACCAGATGAAGTCCAGCCCCCAATCTCAAGGCAGAATAAGTGCTACATAAAGACATAACACTCAAAACAGACTTGAGTTTTCTATTAAGTTTCCCCCAAGCTTAAAAAATGCTGTTTTATAGAATTACAGTAGTCACGGACCACATTTTTCAATCCCATCTTGCATACATTCACGTAGAATTCATCTGTTAGACCCTGTTGGGGAAAAAAGCAGCCCTGAAGCCTGCCACAGAAAGACAAGCAGCACATTTCAGTATCACTGGAGCCTCCACAGATTTATTTCAGAGCTGATGCTGCCAAAACAATGTTCCCCTTCTGCATAATCTAGACAAGATGGGTAAAGAAGGAATGGTAGTGAAGCAACACCTCGAGATATGCCACCAGTTCAGAGCACTGAGAGCCCACACAGGGGGTTCCCAGTCCCTCTTTTTGGGCACTGCCAACCTGCCAAGGGGATGGCAATTTGGGGAAGCATGGCAGCACAGGGGATGCAGGCAGCCAGCAGACCAGGAAAGCATCACACTTCTCCACCGGTTTTTGATGGTAAAACTAATCCTGAAGACTCACTTAGTGTGACAGTTTGTCCTTGTTAAGCTCAAAATGCAGCAGTCTCAGGAGAAGACAGAGCTAAGGTCTCATAGCAGAAGCCTCTGAGATGCCAGGGCTGAAGAAACCACAATGCTGGGAAAAATGAACAGAGGAAAGGTAGGAAGCAGTCAGCTACTGACACCAGAGCAGTAACTGCTGCAGAGTGGCACCAGCCTGCTCTCCTTCACTCACAAAATCAGCCACAGGTCCCTGCAGGTTCCTGCTAAGGGAAGAGATGAAAGGGAAGAGATGAGTCTCCATGCCTTCATCCCCTCTTAGCATTGCCCAAAATGCCCATCCAGCACATCTGGGCCCCAGCATCCCATTTTTTCATTTTAGGGAGGTAGGGGAAGATTTCCAGTAACCCCACTGCCAGTCCCACCACCCTGTGCACACCATGTTCCTTTGGGAGGAGAAACAGCCCAGCATCAAGTTAATTTAGCTGTGGAAACATTCCCCTGGCAGATAAGTACCTCATAAAGAGCTGCACACATTTACTCCGAGCCAGTTCTCTCCCTGGTTCCTGACCACCACTAGAGAGCTCTGGTCTCCCATAACCTGCTCACTTCTCTGCTGTCACCACAATCTGAATTACAGCAGTTGTTTATTGAAACCACATCTCAGTCCCTGTGGGTTTTAAGCAGAGAAAATACACTCTGCAAATTAACCCTCCTTAGAGAAGGAATCTCACACAAACAGCCTTTGGGGCCTTCTCTGCCCTCTCCAAACTGGCAGGGCACAGGAATAGTAACTGGAGAAGTTTTCAGCCACCATTTCCACCAGCCAGCTACAGAACTGTGTTGAAAAATCAGTGCAACCAGTTAGCACACAGGCACAGTAGTGTTATTTTCACCTCAAGCCCCAACATCTCTATGCACGACACTGCTCCTGCTCCAGCCCCTCTTGAAAATCCCAGCACAGCAGAGGAAGGGCTGAAGGGAGGAAAATGGGGCCATGCTGCTCAGTGCTTTTAGGACTCCTTGAATTCCTCCATTTACAGAACTGAAGCAGAGGATGGAGAGAACAAGGGTTCATACCAATCAGCAGAAAATTCCAAATATAACTTCTTGTTCATATTTATCTCCTTCCTCACCTACACTTGCCTAAAGTGTTAGGATAGCAGAAACCTCTTCATTGTCTCTACACCATGAAAGTGCTATTACTTGGAAGGTCACCCCCATAAAAAGGTTTTTCCATTAAAAGGTAGATGGTTCCAGACAGAGCCATCAGCTCACTAGTGTGCTGGGTTCCAGTACAGACAGCTATACTGACCTTATCAAAGCTGGATGAGCAGGATACAGAGGATTTTTATTTTTTAATAGCTGACATCACCAGTGATTTTGGTTGAAGGCTGTGATGTTACTCAGGTCTATTACCTGGGGAGTTAAGCTCTGTGCTTCTCCTAGCTGATCACACTCCCCAGGAAGTCTCTGCAGGCTGCTCCATTGCTCACCCAAGCATTACTCCTTCCCCTTTTAGTGGGGAATTACAATTACTCCCAATGAAAAGTACAGGAAAAATAACATGGATGTAAATGGGGCAGGCACACAGAAAGCCCCTTTCCTGCATATGTCAAGCTCCTTTTCTTCTTGTCACTCAGACTGATGCTTCTTCTCCTCCACCTCACATTCAAGCAGAGTTTCAAGGTCTTGGAAAACAGCTTTGCTGCAGACTCCTACATGAACAAAATTCTCAGAGCTGCCATCATTACAACATCTTCAAATTTTATTAAATGCTTACAAAAAAAAAAAAAAAAAAAGAAAATCCAGGGGGCAGAAAGTTTTAAGCAGAAATCACACTGATGCAGGAGGAAAAACAAGCTGCCCTCCCTTCTCCAGGAGGGTAGAAATAAGTTGCAAAATTATGTTGATGTGGGAAGAAGGTAGGAATGAGAATAAAGAGGGGATGGGGGACATGTTAATGCCATGAAGTATGAAGACACAGTAGAGTTCAGAAACAACCCTGGAAGCTGATTTGCAGACCTCAGACCCAAGGCTAGAAATGCCACTCTTGAGGCACTCAGTTTCCTGAGTGGCACTTCCAAGTCCCTCAAGTTCACAGCAAGCCTTGGTCTCCCCAAACAATTCATCATGATGCCATTTCACCAAGATAGCTTCCAGCAGCAGCCATTTCCCAGATATCCTGCTCAGCCTCAGGAACACAGCTCACAAGTTATCAAGGTGCCACCACACCTAACTTTTAGAAGTGCTTCAGTCACTGGCACTGCAGCCCATAGGTCAGAGAATGAGCAAATCACTTTCCCAGAGAAGGGAGATAACACTAGGGGCCAGCACTCCTCACCTGGGAAAGGAGATCTCCAGTCCACCTTAGGCAGGCAGAGGGAGGCAGCCGCTATTTGAAACAAAGCTGCTATGGCCCTACTGAGACAGGAAAGTGAAAGTGGCAGGAACATTTTGGCATGGGTACACAACTGTGATTGTTGTGATGAATGATCTGGGAACTAAAAAAAAAAAAAAAAAACTAAATTGAATGCAAATTGATGTACACAGAGCAGTGATGGAAGTGCCTCAAAGCAGATGACGTAGAGACAGAGGCTGCATCATGAACAGGGCAAGACTTGACCCACAGCTGGCACCAACAGAGCGACAAGTGGTCCTTGCACTCTCATCACGCTCCCCTTGCAGTCTTTTTACACTCAGGACCTGCCCACTGCCCTCATTTCAAACATTAATTCAAACATTAATTCTTCAGCAGATTTCTGCTGAGTTCCCTTCTCTGCCAACACCCACCCACCAAGGGCCACAAAAACAGAAATCCTTAATCACATAACAAAAGCCTTGCCTGCTCAGCAGGGCAGCAGATCCCTCTCTTCCAACACTGCAGGTGAGGGAAAAGAACCACTCATCTCCATAGCAGAGACAGATTTAAAAAGAACACAGAAAAAAAAAAAGCCAAGGAGTCACATAGAAAGTTAAAACAGGGATGAGTTTTGTCAGCTGATCTAGTTCCTTTCATCCAGCTGGAGGCAGTGTGGGGTATTGCTCAAACCCCAAGAGGAGTCAGGCTGTATCCAAAGCAGACTGACAGCAGTCAGGAGAAGAGAAACATCCTTCAATTATCTTCTGTGGAGCAGAGGAAATAGTGGCATGGAGGGTCGCATTGAGTCAGGACCAAGCTCAGCTGCAAGACAAGAAAACACAATTTTATGGATGCCATTTGGCCTCTCGTGAGCAATACCCTGGGCTACACAAAAACTGTATCTTCTCCAGCAATTACAGGTGGGTTTCTCCCACCCATTTTCACAAAGCCCTGTTAATCAGCCCACCCATAAGGCTTTGGCATAAGGGAACCATGGTGGGAATGTCCATGCCCATGGCAGAGGAGATGCTGAGGGCTGCACGCCCCGCAGAGGTCACGGCTGCACTCCTGCCACGCTGTCCCCCACCCAAAAAAGGGATTGACAGGCTTCCTCCCAAGCCCAAGAAAGCCACTAAAGCAGAGAGTGTCCCCACAGCCCCTGACGGCCGCAGCTCTGCTTGGGACCATCTGCAGCAGCGCTGGGTTCTTGCAGCTCTCCATCTGCTCCATGCACGACAGCTGGTGCAGCCAAGGGGCTCCAGCACACAAATGACTTTTCCATCACTTGATAAACGACTCCTGCATGCTGACACTCTCCCCACTATTCCTGATTTGGGGCTGACTGCAAATGGAGCCAAGTCAGGAGAACAGTTGGGGCCCAAGAGTGGATGAGCGTCCATCCACCCATGGGAGCTCAACCAGCAGCAGAGAAACTTAACCCTTTGAAAGCCTCTTGACTTCAAGGTTCACTTCCTTCTGGCTTATCACAAACCCACACAAGTTTCTCAGGGAGTGCTTCCCCTGTTGTCCCCGGGCTTTCAGCTCCAGCCTTTCCACTGGCAATAAACCAAGTTTGTCTGCCCCTTTATTTTTGCTTCATTAGGTGGCAAGGGGGAAAACAAATCTTCCTTGTTGAGAATTTCTCCTGAATGCACAAAGCTCTGAAGGGGACTCAAAACAAAGCCAGGCATGACAGGGAAGACAAATAAATTAACAGCTGATTTCCTTTTGCTGTTTCTCAGCATCTAGCTGCTCCATTAGTCAAGCACACAGATTCCAGTACAGCCACATGCCATGGAAGTCACCACCCATAAGAATCCCAAGACCCACAGCACAGCAGGTTTCAAGTCAGATGGGATGCTGAGATAGCAGCAAGAGTTATTTTAAAAGTAGAGACTGTTTGTAAGAGGCAACAAACTTTGAGGTTATACAGCATGAAGCAGCCTCTGACTACAGGAGGAGAGGGATTTTCCTGGTGTGTACATACTAAACTCTGAGAGCCCCTATGCCCCCCTCAGTAGCATCTGGCAGCTTGCAGCAAATCCCAGGCAAGACCCTCCTTGGACTCATGTGGGGTGCTGCATTTTTCTGGAGTGCAGGAAAACACTCCAAGAGCTGATCAGTAGCTGGGAAGTTCACTGCCCTGCCTCTTTAGTATTCCCTACACAAGCCTGAAGCAGGTCAACCTTATAAATCTGGTTTACCAATGCTGCTGGACCATAGCTCATCTTGTAGTACAGGCTGTCCATGGGACCACATTAAACAGAAGCAGATTAAGTCATTCCACAATAAATCCTACCATGAAGTGCAGATATTTGCTCACCCTTCAGCAGATTTTTAAAAAGGCACAAAAAACCCCCATAAGCAAATACCAATTCCTACACAAAAAGAGCCAGAGCAGTGCCGCATAAAAGTACCTACATGTCCCTCCAACTGAGACATTTTGGCTTTCTGACCCAGAAGACTCTAAAATACCCATGAGGCTGGGGAGGAAAGCAGGTATATGGCAGAGGAATGGGCTCTCAGCCTTTTTTTGGAACAGCGCAGACTTGCCTCTAAGAGTAGCTCCTGGAACAAAGCAAATCCTAATGACAGCCTTGTGCCTAAGGAATGAAGCTGATAAGACACTGGGAATGTCCTACAGTTGTCACCCCCAGCTGACACAAATCCCCTCCAAGCCCCCTCACAGAAAACAGCAGGTCTCTCATGCCTACAGCTAAAGCAAATCATGGAATGATAGAATAGCTTGAATGGGACCTTTAGTTGAAAGGGACCTTTAAAGGTCATCTAATCCAACACCCATGCAATGAACAGGGACATCTGCAACTAAATCAGGCTGCCCAGGCCCCCATCCAACCTGACCTGGAACGTTTCCAGGGATAGGGCATGCACCACCTCTCTGAGAAACCTGCTCCAGTGTTTCACTACCCTCATCACAAAAAAAAAAAAAAAAAAAAACAACCAAACTTCTTCCTTATATCTAGTGTGAATTTACCCTCTTAGTTTAAAAAAAAAAAAAAAAAAAAAAAAAAACCACCAAACTTCTTCCTTTTATCTAGTGTGAATTTACCCTCTTAGTTTAAAAGCTTTACCCTTTGTCCTATTGCAACATGCCCTACTAAAACACCTGTCCCCATCTCTCTTATGAGCCACCTTTACATATTTAAAGGCCACAATAAAGTCTCCCCAGAGCCTTCCCTTCTCCAGGATGAACAACCCTAACTCTCTCAAGCCTGTCCTCATAGAAGTGTTCCATCCCTGATCATTTTCGTGGTCCTCCTCAGGACTTGCTCCAACAGATCCATGTCTCTGGTACTGAATGCACCACTTGCTGGACACTGCCTGTACCCTGCCCACCACAGCCCCTGCTCTGGAGGGCAGCTCATCCACCACACTGAGGGCTTGACCTTAAAGCTTTTGAGCTCAACATGCCACCTCTTCAGTACCTTTTTTTTTTTTTTAAAGGCAGCAGCAAATAAAAGTCATCCTTCTCCCCCCATGCCCAACCAGTTTTGGCAGACACAGCACCTGCTTGCTGGGTATGGATCACCTTCCCAGCCCAGTGCTGACAGCAGTACTGCAAGCCCAAAGCCAGCACTGGGCACTCAAGCACAAATAGCTGTTCTGCACTTTCCAGAGTTCTATTCAGAATAGTTTTCCCTGCACAGTACATATCACATTACACACCCACGCTAACCAGAGCGGGCTGGGAGCCACCAGGAGCAGGACACAGCACATGAAATAAATGGCCCCCCGGGCAAGCATGACATCACCCTGCCCTCCTCTTCCTTGTTTCAGGATGCTCAGTTGCATCCAACACCAGGGATTAAGGGGCTCAGTGATTTATGCCTCATTTCATGGCAAAACTCAGCAACTCTGTGCTGAGCAAGAGCCAGGACAGAGTCAGATTTCCTTCCTGGGGCTGCCAAAGAGTCATTGCAGGTCACAGGCTGTTTGGTGCTCCCCAGCTTGCTCAGGAAGAGGAAGGAGAGAACAGACGAATTTTATCTTTGCATCCCCAACACAAACCATTAGCTCCACTGTGCTCACCTGATCAGTCACTGAGCTCCACTGACCAGCACTCACCAAAAAGGAGGCAGTGATGAGTTAGCAATAAAGAGCAGGAAAAGCAGCCATGCATCCCTGCAGGAGCAGCCCAGCATTGGCCAAAGGGCTGCAATTGCCACTGGAGATTATACCTGACACAGAGCACAAGCCATTTCTGCTTCATTCAAGAATGAGTGAAAAAGGCAAAATGGGGCAAAGCTTCCCAAGACAAAGAGAAAACTTGGTTTTATCTCTGAGGAAAATGTTGTTCCTGTGCTTCATGCAGCAAGAGAAGACCAGCCAGCGTCAGTGCTGTGACAAAGCATTTCCTCGCTGATAAACAGAGCTTCTGAGAAGCCTGCATTTCACAGGGGGGTCTTCATGCCAGCTGAAATGAATCAAGGCCAGCATTGACTTTGATTCAAATGACACATGTAGTTTATGGCTGTTCTGTTGTATGTAACATTGTATCAGAGTATTAATAACTGAAATTTGGAAAGCCATGAAACATTCCTGTTTTTTGTCTCTGGAGTTGTTTCAAAGCTTCAACATTTCAAACCCACTTTGTTTCCCTTGACATTTCCTTCCAAATCCCATTAGGACTTGCCAAGACACGAACATCTGGGGTCCCCAGGAGCTCTCACTGTGCTCATGCCAGGAGCAGAAGGGCTCCAGGTTTGGCAATACAGCTTCCTCCCAGGACATCTCTTGCCCTGCCACACCCACCCTCAAGAGTGGCTGAGGTTACCTCAGGAGAGTAACAAAACAAAGACTGATGCTCTTCTCTCACAATACTGACACCATACTCATAGCTTTTAGAGAGAGGAAGAGGAGGACTTGTATATAAATATTCCAGAATGCAGCCCAGGGCTAAGCCCACACCAACTCTAAACTTGGTCTTTTCTTGCAGGAAATGACAATGCTGATAACAGTAGCATCCTCCACCCAGCCTGTTTCCAATCACCACCCCCTTTCTCCCCCTCCCACCCTACCAAAGCCTGGGAAGGACAACCTGCGGCTGCAGCGGCTGCTGAAGAAGGCAGCCAGGAAGAACGCCATCCTCACCTCGGAGCAGGGCAAGTCCTTCCGCTCCAGCCTTTCGCCTGTGAACGAAGCCAGCCCCGACCAAGAGCATGCAGAGAGCGCTGCCCCAGCTGCAGAGACCCCTGAAGCCACAGCTGCCCCCTGTGCCCCCCTGCCCACCCAGCTCTCCGTCAGGCCCGTCAGCCACCGCGCGCCCTCCCCGTTCCGGAAGGGGAAGCCTTTCGCGCTGAAGGTCACCGAGCAGCGGCGCATCGCTGAACATGTCAAGCTCACGGCCTCCTCGGCCATGCCCCTGCTACAGAAGCCAGAAGCTCCTGAGACTCCACAGCAGCCTGAAGGCATGGGCTCCCACCTTCCCTCTCCATCTGACCCTTCAGTACCTGTTTTCCCCCAGCCTCCTCCTTCCAGCACACCCAGCAAAGAAAGGGCACCGGAGGTTACCTATGTCACCAAGGTGAACGCTTATTTCCACAGTGTCAAGCCACCCAGGGCTAAGATGCCCACACCAAACCCGACCCAAGGAACTGTCAGCCACGAAGACAAAAGGCCTACTACCCCAGCACCTCAAACAAGCAGCTCTGAACCACCTCCAGAGCAGACACCCACCTCACTTAAAGACAGCAAGGCTGCTCCCCCCTTGCCAAAACCTCCCCTCATTCCTGCTGCAGAGACAGAGACTCCTAATTGGGCTTCCAAGCCTGTTCCTACTGAGAAGCCCAGCACCTCTGATGCCCACACCAATAAGCCTACAACCCATGAAAGTGACACCGAAATATCCAGATCCAAGACAGCTCCTGAATTACCAGATCAAGACAGAGACATCCCAGAACCATCAACATCCAGCGCTCCCTGGAGGCAAGCACGCCCAGCAACAACTCCAGCACAAGCTGATGATACCAGGTCCACCTCCACAGACACCAAGGCAGAACACGTCACTGAGCCCCTGATTACTCCCAGCTTACCCAGCACCAGCTGTCCCCCCAAGGCTGAGCCAGCACCATCATCAGGAGAAGCACCAAGACCTCCTGGAACCAGTGCCAGTGGCTGGTATCGCCTCAGGAAGCACTTGATGGTGCAGCCAGAAGCAACCAGCTTCCCAGAGTCCAAGCCAGAAAAGCTGGGACAGGAGGAAGAGAATAAAGAGGACTCTGCTCAAGCAGTCATCAAGCAAGACTGCATGCTGGTTAAATCAAAAGCCATGAGAATGTGGGATGCCATTTTATACCAGGTGGCACTCAGCAAGGAGAAGAAGCAGCAAGCAGAAGAGAAGCCACAGAAGGAAGAAGGTTTCTTTCTTCCCCGCCGCTTACCCATCCTTCTACACAAGCCACGCTTTGACGCCCGGAAGCTGAAGGAACTGGCTGCCAAGCCCATGACAAAGATCAGCACCGTGTTTGAGGTGAGCCGCTTCCGGCCCAAAGGGGCCGAGGAGCACACCAAGAGCTTCAACAGGACGGCATCCGGATGGTCGGTCCACTGACACCAGGCTGCTCCACGCCTTGGAGGGACACCAACCTCTGACCAAGCTGACTGCCCGGTGGAGCCAAGCGCAAGGAAAAAAGGAAATGAAATAAAACCCCTCCAAGTCAGCAGCCCCATATGCTGCAGGTTTAAGGGTTACTCTCCATAAATTTAAAAGCTCAAATGCATAACTACCGCATCCACAGGTCACAGGAAAACAAACATGTTTGTTTTAGGAAGAGTCAACAACAATCACTGGAGGCAGTAAGAGTGAAGGCACACAGTGAAGAGGACAAGCTGCCTATAGAAAAAAAGACCAGTTTAGAATAGGATAATGGAATCTGAATTTTTTTTTGTTGCATTTCTCTAAGAGATTGATCCTAGGAACAGCAGCAGTTGCATCTGAAATGAAAGAATCTGGGCTGCTCCACATCTCTAGGGAGTGTCTTAGAAACCAAACTCAAAGAGGATACATATAGCCTCTAGCTATTCCACTGAAAGTGTGCCCCACACCCATTTGCTGAGAACAAAATGGAAACTCATCCTTTCACCTAAGGCACAGACAAGAGACAGAGTAAGAAATCCTGCTCTCACCAAGCATTTAATCTGTCTGTCAAAATGGGCATCATCTGACGTCCTCCTAGGCCAGTCTACTAAATAATAATGCACACAAGAATAATTTTGGTTCAATAATCAAGTTCTGTTACGTATTTTACAGTGTTTTCTCCACAATAGCTGATGGTTAATGTTTCCACTATAACCAACAAGACCCTGCTCTAGCATGTGGGTATCCAACTCTGTATTTAACAAGGTGCTGGTTTCTGAGGGGTTCTGCTAACCACATGTAGTCTCATTTTCAGGGTGAACATCATGACAGTTGCACACCTGCTTGTTCCTAACATCCTGAAAAAAGGGTATTTAAAAGGAAAATCCCCAACTCTGCCCACCCACAGAGACAACTGGGCTTTCCCGTATTGCCCTTTGTAACTCCACTGCCAGCAAGCTTGTGAGCATGAAAGATTGGTTATTTCTGTTTCACAAGGGACTCGGACTTGCTGGCTTGTTCCTACACAGCTAATATAGGATTGCTATGTTTAGGCCAAATAGAATGTAAATAGCTGTGCACAGAGTTCCCTTTTACATGCGCAGAGGGTATGGAACTGACCAACAGCTCCTCAGGCCAAACTGCAAACAGACTTAGAAACAGAGTCCCTTTTGCCTTTTTGAAGTCTTCCTATTTTCAGTGATGCTAAGAGCTGTTCATTTAGCAAACCTTCTCTTAAGTTTTCACTTTACCAGTCTTATCTCTATTCTGTAACCCCTTCCCTTATCAAAGGGCACAAAGCAAGTAGGGAGAATAACCCAATTATCTAAGGCGGGGATTTCTTCAAAACCCCAGTTTTCAAAGAAACAAGAGGTTGGAAATCACAAGTGAATCTTAAGTAAGCCTCTGCAGGATAATTTAACATTGCTGCAAGTGAAGGCTACACAGAAACATCCACACAGCAGCACAGCCATAAAAATTTAAAGAGTGCAGTGTAAAACACGTAAAGCAGATAAAGGCAGCCTTACCAGAGAGTGATAAATGGCACCTCCCTGCAGCACAGCCAGATGGATGCCTCTGCACAAAGGTCTGTATGCACAAGAGCCACAGTACTGGCATGAAGCAGAGCAGCCAACATCAATTACATTTGGGGGATTAAGTGAAGGTGGTTTAAGAAGCGCTTGTGCTTTTAAACAGCTTTTGTCCTGCACCAAGGACAATCACCCAGAGCAAACCAGCAACTCTCACCAAGGCTTACGTTTTGCATCTTTGCTGGGCTTCCAGTCAGGCTGCATTCACACCCCAGCCCACTGCACATGGATGAAGGATGGGGAAATGCCATTGATGAAGGATAGGGAATGATGGGGAGAGCAACTCCCACAAGCAGAAGGAAGGAGACAGAGGAAGGCAGGTCTGGGTGCACAGTTTAGCCCTTTTACCCCATAAAGGGCAGAGGCACACAACAACTATGGCAAATCCTACAGAGACAGACCCTGACATGAGAGTACCACAGATGGGAGGACACGGCCCTGTAGGCAACAGATTTTCTACCAATGGCTGCTCACTGTGGGGTGTTCCAGCCTGAGCTGCTGTGCTGAGGAAGAGAAGGGGAATGCTACTGGGCACAGAATTTGCCTATTTTTCAATGCCAAATGGCATCAGGCAATTGCTAAATTCCCAAATTAACACTTACAGAAAAAACCTTGTTCCATAGCCTGTAGTGAGGTCCTGCAGCCCAGAAAGAGAGGGAAGGAGAAAAAAAAAAACACACCTGTGTTTAAGCAACTAGAAAGCTGCTAAGGTGAAGTAAAGCAAGTGACAGGGGTGAGCCAGAAGGGTTTGGGAGCAAGAAGGTCATGACAGTGATCCAGCAGTAGGAAAAAAGATAAATATAGTTCAAGGGGGTGCAGAGGAACCAGGGAGCAGCTCCCCAGGGAGCTCAGAGCATACAAAACAGACAGCTAAGAACCTAAGTACAGAAACAAGCAAACCTCCTTCAGCTATCACAGCCATTTTGTTATTCACAGTAGGAAAAAACCCAATACTTCCATGTGAACAAAGCCAGAGAACAGCAGTGTTGTGCCATGGCTGTTTGGAGCGCTGGGTGGATCCTAGAGGACATCCCATGACAGTGCCTTGCCTTTCAAGAAAGGCTGCTGGACAAAGACCAGTGCCAAAGGCACTTTCATTGGAGCTGCTCAGAGAAACCCAGGTCGGGCAAACAAACCTGCTGACAGCCTAGCAAAACCTGTTTGCTGCAGAGAACTGAAGCTCAGTACGTTCCACCTCGTGCACTGAAACAGACTTCAGGAGAAAGAGGAGACTGATCGAAGGGGAGACCTTATAATAGGTTTCTCAAAGTCACAGGCGGAGAAGCAAGTTGGGGATGCAAGTTCTGTGGACTAAACACAGCTTCAGGCAGTCTTGGGCTTGTACTGCTGCCCATCTCAAAGCAGCATTCAGAGGGCATCTCCTCTAAATGGGCACTACAACAGGAAAAAACAAGCCGAAACAAACAAAACAATATGCAACACTCAGAAGCCAGCTCCTTAAGGGTGGGAGGGAGGGGAAAGAAGGAACACAAGCCCCAGAAGAATTCAGAAACAAAAGGTGTTTTGTAGCAGGCAGAGCTATTTTAACCTTGGCAATGAAATAAAGCTTCTTTTTTATAGTAGGAAAAAAAAGAGAATGAGCTTGTTTTCACCCTGAACTTCCTCCCCATTCATTGTGCCAGATGCTGCCCAGTTGGATCCAACCAGTTATCACCTCCCTCTACACCATTCCTCTATTGCCACAACCCTCTACTATCATCCACTCAAGATAACACCAGGATATCTATGAGCCTAAACACAGTAGGAACATACGATCCAAAGGCCATTTCAAGAGAGCACAGAGCCAGCAACCCAGCTCTGCCTTGTCCTTGCTGCACATCAGAGAACAGTCCTTTCTGCTCTGCTGGTCTACCCAGTACAGCAGATGTTCACATCCTTCCTGCTACAACCTTATTATAGACTGGTTCCAAGAGGTTACTGAAGTCATTAGAAGTTCTCCCTGATTAATTCAGTAAATCTGGGAATTAAACCCCAGAAACATTTGAATTTCAGAAGTACATCAGCCCCCACCTCCAGCTATCTCTACTCCATGCAACTTAAGAGAGCATAAGGAAAGACAGCAGATAGAGACCATTCCTTTGAACTAGCAAAGGCAAACACATCTTCACCCAAACAGCAGCAGCTAAGGGACCTGCCCTGCAGATTAAACTAACAGAGGTATCCAGCAGCATCAGCAAGACAGAGACCAACACAAACCCCTGCTGTGTACCCATTCTGTTCCAGCCCAGAGAGTCAGGCCCAGAAGCCAGGCTCCAGCTGTTCCCATAGAGCACCTTCCAACTCACCCAAAGTGCTGCTGGCAGAAACAACCCCAGCATCCTGCCAGAACAGCCCAGGAGGTTGTTACACAGAGCAGAGCCATATCCCACCTACCTGGTTAATGAGTTCTCCAGACATACTATTGCTCTGCAGCATCGTCTATCAACACCTTCTTGTACTGGCCATGGCCTGTTGCAACAAATTTGTACTTTTTGCCAGAAGGAATGGACTGAACGGGAGAGAAAGGAAGAGCCAAAGTCAGCATTTTTCTCTGTTAAATAAGCAGTCAAAAATCAGGTAACTGAAGCCAGAGGAGCACATAATACAGTTGCCTTTAATCCCTGAGCCCGTTCTGTAATGCCTTCTTTCCCCCTTCACACAAACACTCTGCACAGATCCATCACCACCTTCTGTAAGCATAAGGCAACACTACAGGAACAGGATATGCAATAGGAAAGTAGCTGCAATGCAGGCATTGTGAGGGAGGGCTCATCTAAGAGCCCAGACGCCCAAGCCAGGGTTGTTTTTATCCATGGCAGGAGACTGTGGGATTCACCAGGTACTGGCAGCTTCAACATAGGAACTGACAAGACACTTGGATCTTCCTCTGCCAGCCTAGACAGTTTGAGCAGTAGCTGCTTGCTGCATTTTAGAAGACATTCCCATACAAGCCCAGATCCATCTGCAAGTGATACTGTCTTAGGTTCAGCTCCACTTAGTTTTGCACGTTTTGTTTACCCTCAGTGCCAAAAAGCATAACAAGAGCAAAATTACTCAAATTTGCAGCTCCATTTGAGCCTAGAAGGCTGGGACTCCCAGCCCGTGGGCTGAGAGCAACATGCTACTCAAGAGACCTTTCAAAATTACAGGATATAGAAGAATTTTTGCCCCCGTTTTCACTAGAGCTGAACCAATAGCAATTCACTGTTAGGAAGAGCTCTTAAGCATGCAATTGCATTGACAGATACAGGCAGCCCTTGTCCCTACAGAACATCATCTTCTCAGTAGTGCCAACCCAGCCAACAGCTCTGTTCTTTCTCAGCAGAGAAAGTGCTCTCACACTCAGACACCAACTCACCTTGATATTGCTCTCAGGTTTGGGATTCCCCTTCTGTTCCCAAAGGCTTCTTTTACTCACAATGTCTCCAGCCACGATATCCTGAGAAAATGATGCTTTCATTACCCTTCACTGCTAATGCTGCTGAACGTGCCTTTGTTCACATCCATTTCCAACCCACGCATCTGACCTCCTTTTTTTATTTATAATATCACATCTGACCTATAACAGCTGCTGCTAAAAACCCATGACTGTGAAAATGTCTTCCTGTTCCCAGTATACACTATGTTTTCCTATGGCTCTTCCACAAGAGTCTGAACTAGCTCCAAGATGTTTATTTTCTTAACTTCGTTAACTATTTAGGACATGTAAACATCGAGGCTTCTCTACCAAAAAGAATTCTACTCTCATAAACAGACTTGCAACCAAGATATTACAGAACCAGCCTCACCCACAACAACCAGAAAGTGAAATCACTGAGAGCAATACGTAATGCTCTCTGCACTTTCCAAGTTCACAAGTTTCATCACCTTGGTACTAGATGCAACTTCATGCTTGACAGCTGGAGCTCAGCCCTAGCCCCTGCAGGAGACACATGCAATCCCCCCACCAGCTGGTTTTATTCCCATTTCAAATCAGAGCTTCAACCAGCAACACAGAGGTTTTCCTGCATGTACCATCAAGGAACAGCTGGGGACCCTGTCAGAAAAATTGACTCTCCAAAGCCTTACAACATGATGGAAGACCTCTAATATCAATGCCTTTGGAGCCTGTAGGCCCCACAAACAAGATGCACCAACAGGACAAACAAGGACAATGCATGCTGTGGCCAGGGACCAGTCCCTGCCTCTGGCACAAGCAAGGCAAGTGCTCCAAGGGCTGTACCTTACAAGTTGAGGGCTTCACAGCAGACTGGGCTGTGACCTCCCCAGTCTCCCAGAGGCTTTTTGTGCTGGCTACCATCATGCTCGTGGTGGGAAGGTCAAGAGAGGGCTGCCGGACAGGTTTTGCAGCCTTTGTGGAGGTCTGGAAAACAAATGGAGACAGTCTGCCATCAGAGTGTGCCTCTTGAGTATTTCTAACCCTGGAAGATCATTGGCGATAAGGGGGTGTAAAAGAAGACTTGTAGAGTCCTACTAGTTCCTGTCAGATACTCCCACTCTTTAAGGAGAGAACACGAGAAAACAAGCATGGCACAGCCAAAGAAACCTACTTTATGTGTGGAGGGACACACAGACAGCAGCAAGGAGTGCTCCCATCCAAGGGAGGACAATTTAGTTGTCACCTCACAGCTGGTAAGGCTGAGAGGCATGGTGCAGGAGCAACACCAGCAAAGAGGGCTCCTGGGAGGGTGGGGGCAGACACAGCACAGCAACCCACCTCAATAGCCTGTGTGTACTGCTCCAGCCTGTCATCAATCTTCGACACAGGGAGAGGAGGCTGACTCTTCTTTATGCTGTTGCTGCAGAACAGAGAGGAGCATTAAGGTGTTCCCCCAGAGCCTCAGGCAGAAAGGAGGACTTTGTGACCCACAGGTAGCCTGGCACTCCTGCCCTTCCCCACAGCAGGACCTGCTGACCACCTCCCTTTGCAGCAAGCAACCTGCTTTACCCTGAGGCCAGCCCAGAAATACCTTTTCTGTATTGAGCGGTTCAGCGACTCAGTTCTGTCCGTGATCTAAGGGGGAAAAAGAAAACAGAGATATGACTTTCGTCCTGGTACCTCAGATGGACACAGGTCACCTGAGCTGGCCATTTCTTGGCCCTCATCTCTCACCCATATTTTGGTTAGAAGTGACTCACTCAGCCCCCATGTTCCCCTGCAGATCAGAGACAGCGAGCATTCCCTTTCCTCCTTCTTTCCAAGCGGGGGAAGAGAATCCCAACCAATTTCAGGAGCAAACCAACAATGTGTAAAATGACTGACAGCTGAAACGCCAACCAAGACCATTTTTTCTACTCCCTCTGGTGAAGGAGAAGGTCTCTCTCAGACCTTTGGTTTCCTAGCCAGACAAAAAGGGAAATGGCAAATACAGAAAGACAAGGGGAAAACTAGAGACCACATCTGCAGAAGAGAAGCCAAGCACGGGAGCAGCACAGGCATGGTTTAGGTCAACTTATCCACACCAGAGAAGCACACAGACAGGGCAAATCAGCAACATGGAGCCACCTGTGAGGCAGTTCTTCATGTCAAGCCATCAGGAAAAAAGAGTTTTGCACCAGAGGCTCCTGTGCAATAACTCTTTGGCCAAGACAGGGAGGCAAGCAAACACTTCACAACCACTGCAGGAAAGGAAAGCTGGAATGTTGCTAAACCTTGTGACTCTTTCATATCCCAGAAAACAAGCATACAGAAAAAAATCACCTTGAAGCCAAAGGGGGTGGGGGGCTTTCTTAACACCAGCTCCCACAGAGTCAAGGAGTAGCAACAAAGTAAAAAGGAGCCTTCTCCCCCTGTAAAACTGCTGCCTGTGCCACAGGAAACATCACCTACCAAGTTAGCAGATAAAAAACAACACTAAATGATCCTTTAAGATGCTTTCAGGATGCCAGTGCTAAATTTCAGCTAAACAGAAGACAAGACAGTGTCACATAGAGGACACATTTACCAGCTGTGCCCAAGGGCACGAGGCCCATTAGAAAACAACCAAATAGTGCAACCCTGGCCAACAGAGATGACGTGGGGAGAGCCACTCTGCAGGGTCCCCCCACAGCAGCACAAGAGAAGCCAGCTCTGTCTGCAGGGCAGGCTGTCTGCCTGCTGTCAGCTCACTGCTGCCTGCCTCCGAGCCGTGACTTCAGAGACTTCACCCTGCTCACTGGGTGCTACCTGGCAGGGTACAGCACCAACCTGAAAGGAGAAGCTGGTAGATTTTTGCCTCAGCTTCCCAAACACAATAGGAAAAAGCCAACCCTGCCAGGGAGATGGTGTGCAGGTGCAAACCATACACAGGCACTTCTGAAAGGTCATCAACAAGCATCAGGTTAAACATAGAGGGGCCTAGACAAAACTCTAGGTGACAATGCATCTCAGTATGACAGCCTAGGTAAGAACAAACTTTCACCATGCTATTTAAAGACCAGCTGCCCCCACCCCGGCATTTCCTTGCAGTGAGAATTGTGCATCTCCCTGGTCCCAAGCACTTTCTGAAGGCCAGAAGAAACCACAGCTGTTCATTCAGCCAGCCTCAAAGCTCAGGGCTCACAAGCAGCCTGTGACCAAACAGGACTGGTGCAAAACTTCTCCCTTGCCTCCATTCCCCCTGTTCCAGCCCCCAGGCCACGCTGGCCCTCTGAACCCCCACCAGCAGCCTGCCCCAGGTGTGCACCCAGGCTCTGCCAGCCACATCTGGCAGGGGCACACACCACCGACTGCAGGTGCTTTTTCCTTTCCGCTCCAAGCAGGGCTTTTGCTGAGCTTCCTGGGCCAAAACACCTTCTTGGTGGCCAGTGTGCTCAGTTCTCAGTGTTCACAGAGCCCTGCTAGCTGAGGTGTAAAGATCATCCTTCCTCTGGAAGGATTCCAAGCGCAGATTTTTCCTGAACAGTTTTACATCCAGCTTAGCGTGCGGGTGAGCTCTGACATCACCATCACAAAACAGAGACTGCATTTCTAAACCTTTCCCTGGGCCAATCCTAGCAGCAGTTAAGCTGAGTCGAGAAGCTATGTGTTTTGGGATGGTAAGGACAGAAGGTTCTGCACACAGAAGTTGCTGAAAGCATTTTCCACGTTTTCCCACCAGTCCCACTTCAGGAATATGCTTTGGCTACCCCCACCACTTTTCAAACCTGGCATTTGCACCCAGCCTGCATCCACACCTACTCTGTCTCCCCTCTTTTAATTTGGCTATAAAATGGATCCTCCACTAAGAGCAAGAATCTGATGGCTGTAGATGATGAAACCTTCCTCTTGCCATCTATTTACTGATGCAAAAGAAAGTACTCATACGATCATTCCCACTCAGGAAATATTGAGTAAACCGCAAATAGCGCAAAACTAAACTCAAAAAAAAAAAAAAAAAAAAAAAAACAAAAAACCTCCAAAGATTGTGCAGCCTTTTAATCTGCTATTACTGACTCCTCACCATCTTCCTCACTGCTGCAACCAAAAACGTTGGTGCTTACAAAGGCAGAATAAGCCAAGAAACACTTATCTGTATCTATTGTATTCAAAAGCACACACACAGAACTGAGGATTTGTAGCAAATGCAACACAAGTCATAAGACACAATTCAGGTGGTGTTAATAATGGGAGTTTCACAAGAGCACCAATGCAAACAGATGTGATTGGGAAGGACACAGTGCTTCAGAGATCAGAAATCCCCATTTGTTTAAACAACTACAGTCACACATTTTGTTCTAATTAAGAGAGAAATGCCACTGTTACAGTTACTGGGGCTTTTTCCCTTTGGAAGGGAAATTTCATTAAGATTAAGTTCTTGTGAATTTTGTTAAAGACTACACAAGTTGAAGCACAGCTATCTCAGTATCACAATATTCCCTGGAGCCCTCAAGGAGCTTTAGGCTTTTAGAGTGACTGCTACAGCCTCCAACAGCTCAAGCAGGCAAAGTAGGAGGAGAGGAGGTTGACAGCCATGAAAGATGAGGCAAATTGCTCAGGTGGTTTGTCTCAGCTTGTAGCAGGATGGATAATGGGATTCACACCCCACATCGCTGTAAACCCTGGATAATCCTTCCTCATCACTAGCTGGGACCTCTGTTGTGACAGTTGTCATGCATCCAGCAGGGCCCCAGGAGCACAAACCTTTGTGGAGCACACTGCAGTGTGGTCAGAGCACAGCTCCTCCTCTTCCAGGCTGGCAAGGCTGGGGGCCTTCTGGCGTTTCTCTGGTGTTTCCTCTTCTTTCTCTCCATCATTTCGCCTTCTCTTCTTTTCCTGAGTGCAGAAAAAGAACAAGCCAGGAAGTGAGTTGGTCAAACCGCTTATTATGCAACAACAGTGATTTTTCCCGTCTCTCAGGCTTCCTGCTTTACACTAAATAAACAAAAAAAGCACAGAAACTTTGAGTTAACATTATCTAATTTGGAAGCATTCAGGAAGAAGCTCATATGTCATTTGGAAGGGAGGGCAGAAATCAGAAGTTTTGCAGGGTCAAGATTCCCAAATGGTATGAAAAGGGACCCTTGCATCAGTTATAAAGATCTCTTACCACAACTGAGATAGGAAAACATTAATTCCTCATTTAAAGGCCAAAAGGAGAGAGAGAAGCTGCCTTTAGAATAAAGGGCTGGAAAGGGTAACGCACAGTTCAAATGCAAAAATCTTGCTAGCCCCAGACAGTCCAAGTCCATTTATAACAAATTATATTTGAAGCTCAGCCCCCTGACTTGCACACCACTTGAATTCCAGCTTTGTCTCGCTCTCCCCCTCCCCTTAACCAGGAATTATCAGAACAAAAAAAAAAACCTCAGCTGGGAGCAATGCAAGGCCAAGAGAACTATCAGGAAGAAGTACTCCAAAGGTGTGATAAAGGCTGGGGAGAGGAAAACAAGCAGGATCATTTAGATTTGAGCTCTCCTGTAAAGCTACTCACTGCCCACAAAGCCACAGGAGAAATAACACTTTCCTCCTCAGCATGACAGGGACATGGCAAAGCCACCACAAACTCTGAGAGCAAGCACAACCCCCTCACAAAAGGGCAGAGGCTGCCAGCAGTGACCCCAAGAAGGCACAGCACACAGGCAGGAGTGGCACCAGCCCCAGGTTATGCCGTGAAAGCACATCTAATGTGTCTGCATGGGCTCAGCTTCCAGCAGCAGTGGTGAGCCAGGACATGGGAGAGCAGCTCCCAGCATCAGCTCTCCCACCAGCCCTCTGGAAAGAAGGTCAGCTCCTCCTGATCCCACCTCTTGCTCAGCTTGTTCCTCTTCCTCCTGCTCTTGAACCTCTTCTTCCTCCTGACACAGCCTCTCTTCCTCTCTGATAACCATATTATCCTCTGGGCTTTCCTGATCCAGCTGGATCTGCTCCAGTTTGACTTCAGCTTCTCTCACACCACTGTCCTCTTCTTCATAGGACTGCCTTGGAGACCTACAGGTGGGGGAAGAGATCAAAGAAAAAAAAAGCACAGTTATGAGCCTACAGACACCATGAGGTACCTTACACCTCTAGAAATCCAATTTTATCACTTCCCCAAACCTGCAGCATGCTGGGTATTCCACACCAGGGCTCACAGCCAGTTCCAGGCACCCAGATGCAACAGCAGTCACATCCCACTCCCCCCACTTTAAATGCCCAAGACAGCTCAACTAAGGGCTGTGGCAGAGCTGAAGGGATCTGCACATTACCAGCATCATGATGGGTAAAACCCATAGGAAAGCAGAGAAGAGCCCTCTGCTCAAACCCCTGGCAGAGAGGCCACTGCTGCCATGATGTGGTAACTGCTGCCAGGCTGGCTCAATTCCCTGCCTGGCTACAGCTAAAATTCCAGGTGCACTAGCACATCCTGCAGTCAAACACAAACCTGATGCTGCCCCCATGGTTCCCAGCACTAATTCAATGTGAGGCACCAGACACAGCCCTTCTCTGCCTGAACTCATCTTCCATGTTAACAGAGTCTTCTGCTGCAGGAGAGCCCAACCACCAACACATGAGCATGCTTCCCAAGCTGAAGCTGAACTCTAGGGCAAGGCTGCAGAGCCACTCCCCTGGAATCATTCCATGGGCAAGGCACGGTGCTTCACAAGCAATGCTGTATTAGCACTTGGTCCCAAGCCTCAGTTTTGCCCACTGGAAAAAATTACACCTCTACTCACATCACTCATCTCATATCCCAGCAAAACAAAGGAGTTCCAAAGCAGATGGGGTCACCCCCTGGCTTAGGGGTTTGGTACAAGAGAATTGCTCCGGGTCTCCAAGGCTGCAAGAGGAGACCCAGGAGTACGTTTATGCAATCAGCTTTGCAAGAGCAGAGCAGCCCATGCCTTTGGGCACAGGGACACTGGGAGCACAGAGCCCCAGAACTCTCACTGGCTCCCAGCCACGCACCAAGCTGTTATTGCCATCTTACTCTCCCCAGCCAAAAGATCCTTCTCCTCCCACCCAGTTCTTAGAAAATCGCCTGGCTTGAGAGAGCAGGGCTAGAGAGCTGGCTAGCAGGCAGCTGCCAAAGGGCAAGGCTGACTCACTGCTCCTCCCTCAACAGGCAGCACCAAGACACAAAAACAAGCTCCAACAAGACCTTTCCACCCACATCTCTGCTTCTGGGAAGGCAGCTCACAGGTCAGCCACCATCCAGCCCTCCACACTGACTACATGGGGAAAAAGATGATGCACATGCTGGCTCACTTGACTTGTTTCTCATCATCCCCTCACCAAGAGCAAACAGACTGAAGGCCCAGCAAGCTAGCAGCTCTCCACCAGGATGGCAGCAATGTCTCCAGCTCACATACAAGCTCATATTAAAAATTAAGGCCAGCAAACACAGCACAGCCTATAGGATGCCTTTCACACCACAGCAACGCTGTATGGGAGGCAGCTAGGCTGGCACAGCTTCACCTCCTTGCACACAGCTGATGGTATGGATCTCCTACCTCAAAGAGGAGAGCCAGGACCAAAAAGAAAACATGCCTTAGCACCAAGGCCCTCAGGGGATGCAGGACCTGGTTTAGTTCTATCCAACAGAGAGCAGCTGTCTCTCTCCATCCACTCTTTCACAGCCACCACTTAAAACGCAGGATTTGCCTCATCTTCAGTTAAACAGGAGAGAAGGGAGTTGGGAAAGCCTGACCACAGCACTGCTTGTCCCAGCACAGGACACCACAGGCAGACACACAACCTACCTGTGCTCACACCACACTCCAAGCTCATCCCTTGGATCAGACAGGTCCCCAAGGAAAATGCTGCCACAAGGACCCACAAGGCACAGCCCCTGCTGTGAGGACAAGCCCAGCCTTTGCAGAAAAGCTCACCCACAAAGTCTGAACTCCTTCAGCTGCCTCTCCCAGCCAGCCTTCACCCACAGCTCCTGCTTTTGAAGTACCACCTCTCACTGATGGGCTTCACCTGCCATGCTCTCACTGATGGGCTTCACCTGCCCTGCTCAGCACCCTCCCCTCCTGCTACAGGACAAACACTTAAAAACCCAAAGAGAAATACCTGGGGAGGATAATGTTCGTTCCAACTAATTCCCTTTTGAAGGCCAAGGAGGGAAAAGCAGTAGCCTTTCTTTCCAGAAAAGCTCTTTGCAAGGGGGGCTGGAAAAAGAGGCAGCAAACCAAAAAGCAGATGATTTCTAATTGCTCCCACAGATGTTGTAATTACGTTGTGCTGGGCTTTAGAGGTGCTTGAGAAGTGCTTGTGAGGTCAGGGCTGCAAAGGTACAGCTTGCAACGTGGTTTAGCCACAAGGTCTGGAGAAAAGTAACAAAACTTTGAGCTCATTTTTATTTATTCAGCAGTAAATATTAATCTTAAGCACTTTTTCAGTCACAGAATAGTTTGGATTGGAAAGGACCTTTAAAGGTCATCTAGTCCAATCCCTCTGAAATAAGCAGGAACCTTTTCAATCAGATCAGGTTTCTCAGAGCCCTGTCCAACCTGACCTTGAATGTTTCCAGGGAAGGGGCATCCACCACCTCTCTGTGCAAAGAATTCTTCAGGGTAAAGAAGAGGCTATGGCAAAAATTCCCTACAAAATCAAGCTGCCAAGAGAGCTGAGTCACAGAGTTCATGTGCAGGTAGACAGTATCCAAGGGAAGTGGTTAAGGCAGGAGTTTGGTTTAGTTCTGTAAGGGAGGAGTGATGGGAGGGCTCTCAGGGCTCTTTGCTGCCTGTTTTTCCCTGCTCAAAGAGGAGTCAGGCACAAGGTGGGTTGGGGCCATAACACCCACTATGCTGACATGAGCCAGGAAGCAGCAATAACTTAGAACAGCTTTTTAGGCAGGCCTGGATTATGTTAGAGACCATTTCAGCCCCTGCAGCAGCTCAGGTGGCTTAAATCTGCTGTTGTCACTCCTCCAAACCCAGGAGTCCTGGCAGGCTGCCACTGCTTGGAGCACAGAGCTCAATCCAAACACCCCCAAAGCCTGGGGCTGTCCCTGGGCCATTGCCCCCTGCTAGCCCAGATGGCAGGCAGAGAGCAGCTGTCCCAGCGGTGTGGAGCCTGCTCTGTCCTGCTGACGCTCCAGACTTGACCTGGGTTGGGTCACCCCTCCTCAGGGACAGTCCTTTTGCTGGGGTACCCCTCCCCTTGGTTCATCTGTGTCCTACCCACCTCTGCTTGCGCTGCTCGAGCTTCTGGGACCAGTCACTGAACCCCTCATCTTCCTCCAGCTCTGAAGTCCCAGATGGCTTAAAGTCATAGCTGAAACACAGCAAGAAGGAAAATCAGCATGAGAGGCATGCAAAAAAGGCCTAAACCTGGCCTGAAAGAGCCACAGCCTGACACAGTCCTTCTCCTTTCAGTTACTCCATTTATTCTTCTCTGAGTGAGCTGTACTGCTGAAGATAGCCATGGCAAAGTCATTCCAGCATCTGTCGTCCTGGCCACAAATGTGTGCTCAGGCTAACAGTAAAGCTCTCAGGGAGCAAGGGAGACTGGCTGAATGCTGTCAGAACACTGGCTGCTTCCATGTCCCTCTGCAAACCCAGCCCCAGGAGAATCACAAAGCCAGCACAGCCCCACCATCACCACTTCAGCTGATGCTGTCCCTCCAGCTCCCAAGAACACTCCTGTCTTTTTCCTGCAAACCCTCTGTTCTCCTGACTGTTTCTGGCTTTCTTTAGTGGGGGTAAGGGAGAACAGGAGGTAAACTCTGTCCCTTTGGAGAAAGGACATGCAAGGGTGGGTTTGGACTAAAGGGAGTGGCATGGATAGGACGAGTCCCAGCGTGGGAAGAGCCACAGGAAGGAGGGGGCAGGATTTACACAAGAGAGAATGAAGCTTTTCAGAAGATTAATAGCCAGGGCTGACCCTGGCTGCATGAGCAAGCCCAGGTGGCTGTCAGCAGCTGTAAACAAAACCAGGGAATGGCCAGAGAAGAAGAAACACGCTTGTGGTTGAGCCTGGCCCGGCAAGCTTTTGGCATCATGGAGCAGGGAGCAAAACCCTTCATTTTAGGACTTGTTCTTGTCATTGCCCTCTTAAGCACTCAATTGAATTTGGGCAATGCCAACGGTGCTGTGGGGCCAGCAGCACAGCTGTGCCCATGGCAAGAGGAGTGGAGCCTGCAGGCTGGGTTACTGGGGCTGCTGCACACTGCTCTGGGCCTGAGGCTGCTCACAGCACCAACCAGCAAAAAGGAGACCAGAGACCTCATCTGCTGTTTTAAAGACCTTTTCAAATTATTTCCTAGTCCCCACGTGAAGGGGGGGTTTGGAAAAGCTAATAACTATTATTACTTTCCAGACCTTCTGTTTGCTTTTAGAGCAGACTGCAGCAGCTTTGTCTGCACAATATCACCGTGTGTATTTCCACAAAAGATTGTGAAGGTGTTTTGCAATGCTTTTCTATTTTAAAAAAAAAAAAAAAAAAAAAAACCTCCAAAATTTTTGGGGGGGTTTGGGAAAAAAAAAAAAAAAAAAAAAAAGTCCTGAATAATTTTGGAAGTGTCTTGGCAAAAAAAAAAAAAAAAATCTTTCAAGGGAGAAAAAAATAGGTTTTCATAAATTTGCTTTTTTCCGAGTAAAATGAAGATGTTGCTTCTCTGTGACTATAACTCCAAATCCTGCCACCACTTTTCCATTGTGTTCAATAAATTTAGAAATAAATTGAACACATAAACAGTGGTAAGACTGAGGACTTTGAGACAAGAATTTGGCAATTCAGAGTGCAGATTAGTTTTTGTGCTAGCCCCAGTGCTGCACAGCATCTGGACTGCTGAACCATGGACATGGGGAGGCTGCAGCAGGATGTGGTGTGGGATGCTGGGGATGTCATCCTATCCCTTCTCCAGGTGCTTCCTCTTTGACAGCAGAGACCTCAGCATCTCCAAAAAAATGCCTCCTGAGCTATTTCCATCTAGGACTTGCCCCATTAAAGCACAAAGTTAATTTTAACCCTTGGAGCTGTGAACTGCACCAGCTCAGGTGCTGCTTCATGCTATCCAGTACCAGGGCAGCATCCTGGGAAGGAGGAATGGGAAGCTTAGCCAGGATAGGTGACTGCTTGCACTGTGATCTGCTTGGGATTGTGCATCAACTCCTCAGGCACATCTTTCTTTGCACATATCAGGAAACTCCATTACTTTCGCTGTAGGATGACTCCCAAGTTGAAATTTAACCAAGCACTGAAATCACTGGCAATGGGGACTCCCTACCAGAGCCCAGCCTGCCCCAGGCTGTCCCAGTGTAAACTCCCAGGGCAGTAAAACCCCCAGCCTCCAGCCAAAAAAACAATCAAAGCAGGACTTGTGGGGTTTTCTGCCCAAAGAAGAAAGCACACTATTTGCTAGTGTGTGCTAAATCCCCCAGCCCAAACCTATTAGAGATCTTCCCCATCTTCCCCAAACCACCCCGAACGCCAGGGACACACACTCAGTGGCTGCAGGAGGGCTTTGCTACGAGGAAAACGTGTGCTGCTGCAGGATTTATGCATGGGTATTTCTTACTGGTTTTCCTGTGGCAGAGCAGCACTCTCTGAGCAGGGGACGGTGCCATTCAGGCCCTCTTCTGCCTGGGACCGCAGCTGCTTCTCCCGCTCCCGCCGCCGCCGCTCTCTCGCCGCCTCCTCCTCATCTTCCACGCTCCACTGCGCTGTCAGCCTGCCAAGCCAGAGGGAAAACCCATCTTTAATACCATCAGGCAGTCCTGTGGAACCTGGTAACAATCCTCTGAGGTGTCTGGGCTGCCCCCGGCAAGCAGGAGCCTTCTGCAGAGGAGAGCTCCCACCACGAGCGCTGATCCTCCAAGCGGCATCCTCACCTCCATCGGCACAGCTCCACAGCGGGACTGACTGATGGGCAAGGACAAGGTGGGACACAGGGACCGGGAGAGAGGTGCAGGAGAGCCTGCAAGTCTCTAGAAGGAAGATGTGGCAAACACCCTCTTCCCACCTGCCTGTGGGCTGAAGCCCACTGGAAAGCACCATTCCCTGCAAAAACAGCCTTGCACTCCCCCTTTGGAAGGGTTTGTAAATGGTCCTGCAATTCTGCGAGGTGTCTGAAGGGTTTGTAAAGGGTCTTGCAGTGCTGCAAGATATCCAACACCTTCATGTCAAGCTTTGGCCCACAGAAGACAAGATCTGTACCCTGGGGATGAGTTTCCTTAGGCAGTTGAGCTGCTCCTGCCTGACCAGGAGCCAAGGAAACAGCGGCGGATGGCAGCACCTATGTCCTGCCCTGCTCTGCCCTGCCTGGCTTCCTGTCAACCCTGTGGAGGAGAAAAACCTGCCCTGGCTTCTCCCAGACATCTCAACTGCAGCACAATAATGCCTCTGTCAGCAGAACAGCCTCCTGCATCCCCAAGGAAGTGATAAGGCGGATGCCACATTCCTTCTCCGGTGATAACGCCAGTCCAGGCGCTCCCCCATGTGGGATCAGCTCCTGCTCCACTGGCAGCACCAGCTGAGATTCAGGCAGGCAGGGACATGCCATGGGGTGCCCACCACTCACCCAAAGGGCCTCTGATGGCAGCTGGAGCTGGGCAGGTCTGATGTGGGGTACACGGGGCTGATGATGGGGCAGATGCCTCCTCACCCCACTCACCCCTGGCTCAGCCAGGTCCAAAGCAGACACTAAAGCTGTTTCCGCTGGCATTTTCAAGCCTGTTTACAGAAATGCCTTTCAGGAAGGCACATACACGGGAGCTGGGAAGTTGATCTCCCAGCAGCAGGACCCAGACCAACCTGCACTTCCACACCTCAGGCACACTCCGAGGACCACAATCCTCTTAGGATGAACCTGCTCAATGGGAGATACAACATTATTCAGATTGGAACAAAGAGCCTGTGGAAGGGAAAATGGGGAAAAAGCCCAAACAGAAATGCCTTAGTTGAGACGTGTTTCAGCCCAGTTTGAGTGAATGAGGGACAGGTTTCAGCTGGCCCCAGGAGTGCCACTCTGCAGCCTGCCCAGCTTTGCCCTCACTTCACCATGGGTCTCACCAAAAAGCTGTTTTCTTCTGAAGTTCAGGGCAGATACCTCCCTATCCCAGCAATGGGAGGGGGGAAAAGCCCATTGGGATTAATTGATGAAAAACATAGCCTTTCTAATTACACTGTGAACCTTGTTAGCCTTTCTAGGGAAGACTGACTCAGAGCCTATTTTAGACTCACTCAGAACTTATTTTACTCTGCAGTGTGAGCTGGATTGTTGAGCTTAGCCCCAGTAGCATCCCCTTGCACAGTGGTCCCACCACCACCCTGTCAGGAAGCTGGGGATGACTCCAAATCACTGCCCTCCCAAACTCCCACCTGCCCCAAGGCAGCAAAGCCAGGTTGTGAGCCCAGTGAAGAAAGGTTACCCATGCCTGCTGCGCCCACAGAGGAGCAGGGAACAGAGCAGACCCCAGAACTAGCCTGAGAGAATGTTCCGCTGCAGTGTTGTTACTGCCTGCCTTATTTTGGGTGGGGTCTTCCTGCAAGCACCAAATTCAGCTCTTTACCTTTTTACCCCATCATCGCCCCTTGCCACCTTGGTCTCCATGAGGAACAAAGCAGACCCAGAACCAGACCCGAGCCTGAGCTCCCCTCCTCCCTTCCCTACTCATCCCACACTCCTATTTATTATTTTTCCTCAGGTTCCCATAGAAACCCTTGTCTGTGGACCTGGCAGGAAGCCACCATGTTGTTGTTGGTTTTTTTTTTTTAATATATAAATGAAGTCATTCATTAAACTCTGCCATGATCTCCCTCCCTTGCGGGACAGCTCCAGATAGTCTCCAATTCGGAAAGGCTCTTAACCCCCTCTTGCCCATATTGCCCCAGTTACGAGCAGCAAAGTCCACGTTCATGCCAGAAAAAGTTAGGTTTTGATTAAAATCTTTCACTCCTTCCTCCAGTTCCTTGGGAAGCTGCTGCAGAGGCTGTGCTCCACCAACACCCCAGCTTGGCCAGGGTGCTCTGGAGGGGGGGTCCCTTCTGAACCACATGAGCTTTCCACACTGTGAGAGCAGCACTGGTTGGCAGCCCTCTCCCTTTCCCAGTTGGATGTGACTAACTCTCTCCCCATGACCTCACCGGCTCGCTATTCTGTCCCTGCATCCTTCGAGCAGGCTGAGGACAGAGCCAGGGGCGACCGTTCTGGGGAGAAGGATTTTTCTGCAAAAGCAGAGAAATAACTTTCCCAGCTCCCCTTGCCACAGAACAATCCAGATTAGTCACAGAGCAATCCCAGCTTCCAGGTTGCCCGCTGCTGTGCTGGGATGTGTCTCAGACACTCTGAGCATCCTGGGGGGGCTGCGATGCTGGGAACACCATGCCTCCGCTCAGCAAAAAGGGCTGCAGATAAAGCCCCCACGGATTCAAAGACACCAGCACACTCCAGCAAACACCTAAACTGAATTTATTTTCAGATTCTGAGCTCTCTGTCATGCTCAAATAGGTTGGTAGGGGAGGGAGGTTTAATAAGTGATGCGTTGGGGTTCACTAATCACACTGACAAGCAGAGGAAAAAGGATGATTACTTTTGGACTGACCGAACAGCACAAATATTTGTCTTGAGTGAAAAACAAGCAAAACAAAATGAAGCAAAAAAACACAAGCAAATGAGAAACTAAGCCTTGCCAAAGTCCTTGTGTTTGGGTCAGCTACAGGGGTTTGTTGGACCCCAGACAAAATGTGCCATTTCAATTTGGACAAGCAGAAGTGTGAGCAGGGGGTCAGCTGTTAAATTGCCTTTTGAAGCTAAAAGGTGGAAAGATTTAATTTCCAAATGGTTCCATTTACTAAAATGAGGCCATGGTCACCCGTTTGCTCTAATTGTTCACAACCACATTCAGTAACTCAACGTGCTCAGCCCACAGTGGCATTTCACAACCGTCTTTCCCAATCCTAGAAATAATTACCCAGTGCTTCAGGATCAGGCTGATCCCACATATCTTCACCTCCAGCCAGCACTGTGCCAGGTTGGTCCCAGGCTGGGGAGGTTTGGGAAGAAGCAGGCTCATAGCTGCCAGTGGGACCAAGAGTTCTCAACTTCATTTCACTCATCACAGGATGGGGAAATGGAAAGCAAGACTTGAAGCTTGAGGAGCTGCAAGATGAGCTACAGCATGCTACACTCCTGAATCCAGCCACCTGCCTTTATAAAATCCCTCCATAGAGGGATTTTCATGCAATGTGAAAGGAAATTCACCCCCTTAAACAGACTTTAGTGTGACTGGAGAAGGGAGGAGAAAAGGTAGAGAGATCTCATTGGTCCCAGCAGCCCAGAGCTCTGGCAAGATTTGCTCCAGCAAGAGCTCGTCACAGGGCTGGGTCATTTCTCTTACACGGTCCCTACATCTCTGCCAACAGCTTTTGGATGTCTTGGTTGGGCCAAACACGCTCTGTGGAATGGGCTTCTAGCTTCCTGAGCACGTCCTGCAGGTGTGAGAATGAGCTGAAAGCCCCTTGGTTCAGCTGTGCCCACAGAGACCCTGCCTGCCAAGCATTTGGGATGCTTAGGTTTCTGCTCTGACTGGGGCCAGCTGCCTGTTTCGGATCCAGCTCTTGACCTCACCTCCCTCCGGACCCCCAGCCAAGGGAGGGGCTTTATTTCTGTTTGCACTACAGAACACCTCTTCCTGCAGCACAGCAGTACAGGCACCCACGCTCTGGCTGCCCTGTTCCACATGGTGGCCACAAATGCTCCAGACAAGCCAGCATGGCTGGGAAGGTCACGTTTCCTTTGGGCAATTCCTCACCGGCACTTGAGAAGATTTTAATATTCAGGCAAGGGAAATTTCTGGCAGCAGATGAGCTGTGTTTAAGGGAAACTCTGCAGACTCGAGGAGTCTTTTGCATGGTTGACGGCTCAAAGGAAGCTTTGCTGGCCCAAACCCAACCTTCAGCACTAAAGCTCATTCCAGAAAGGAAAATCAAATGCCTCCCAGAGGCTTTGGGCTTTGCAGACCTGCGCCAGAAAAACTCAGAAACCCTCTACCAGCACACTGGACATTCCTGTCTCCCGAGCTCACTGGGGTACCAGGCCAGGAGTGTGTTTGCTTTGGTTGCTGCCTCTGTTGGGTAGGTTGCCCCCACAAAGCCAGGGCACAAGAGGGAAGAGGTTTTGGGAACAAGATTTAGGAGGAGCCATGTGCAACCCCAGAAGATAGATTACCCCATCACCTGCAAAAAAACCCAGTGTCCACCACAGCTGGAAATATCCCCTGGGAGCCATGGGGCTGCATGAATTAGAGAAGAACTGGGAAGGGCAGGCATCCTATCTCCCCTCTGTTGAGGTTTAGGGGAAGGGAGATGCCAGAAACCAACGCAAGGGAGTTTCCCCTTCCATGCAATCCACTTGCAGCCTGCATTGCCCTGTCACAGCGCCAGATAACAGAGCGCAGAATATGGCCTAGGACCATCAACAAGTTCATCTGCTGCTGAGCAGAGCTGCCAGGCTTTATTTCATATTGCATTTATCACACATTTACAAAGGGCCCTGACTGCTGGCAGGAGATGTGCAGCTCACCCTGTCACACGAAAGGAAAGAGGACACCCTCTGAAGGCTACAACTCCCTCACCCACTTGACCTTCTGCCAACAAATTAATCACTTATTAGTGGCTTATAATGGCTCTGTGTGACTGAGTCAAGCATGCTGAAATACACAGATAAAGCCT